ACTTATAGCATTTATCATTTGAATGACCATGATAGTTGCAATAAGTGCAGAATGATCTTTCTTTCTTTTTATAATTTGCAGCTGATCTGATTTTTGAGACAGTATTATATCCATCACTTCCTTTTCTATTTTCAGATCTGAAAGCAAAAGCCATAGCTCCATTGTGATCAGATCTTGATACAACTTGTGTAACTATCTTCATTTGATGTTCTTCTTGAGAAACCACGGCAAAAACTTTGTTGATGGCTAGCAGAGGATCCATGAGAAGAAGATGCCATCTCACTTGAGAGAAAGAGTCATTTAGCCTCCATGAGGAAAGACATTATAGATTACATCTGATGATGAGCATTTAATTCCTTCACACCACAACATATGCATTTCCCACAGTTGCAATTTGGACAGTAATTGCTCAACTCTTCCAAAATCGTTTTGAGTTTAGTAAATTAGATACTAATAGGATTATGATCTTGCGTCAAGTTCATCAGTTCCTTCCTTAGCTTAAAAATGTGTGGACCATTTTTCTGTTGGAACCTATCCTTCAAGTCATTCCAAATCTCATCTGCAGTCATGGCATAGATCACACTGGCAGAAATCTCCTTAGAGATTGAATTCAAAATCCAAGATATAACAATATTGTTATTCCTTATCCATGAATTGAATTGAGTAAATCGTGATCATCTCCTTCTGATTTTCCTATGGTTCCATCAACAAAATCAATTTTATTCTTCACAGACAAAGCTATTAGCAAGGCTCGACTCTAGGAGTTGTTGTTATCTCCTATTAATTACTGAGAGACTAGTATTAGTCCTGGACTATTTGAATGGTGTAGAAAAAAAAAGGACTCGAAGGATCATCAAACGTTGATCTGCTGGAGGAAGACCTTGTATCTGATACATTCAATGAAGGTACTGGTTCCATTTTGGAAGAACCTCAGAATATACTAGCAGTAATCAAACGTATGTGAACTTGATTGAAGAAAGGAAGGTTAAAGAAGAAGTAGAAGATAGACGTAGCTATTATTGCTCTGATACCATATTGAGTTCAAAGAAAGATGCGGGAAGCATTGTTTCATTCCAACTTAATTGAGCTTACAATAACAAAATGAACCTATAAATAAACTATACAAAAGAATCTCCAGCTGTAATATTAACAAACTAAAAACAGAAAATGAAAAGATCTAGATGATGGCTAAACTAACTGTAAACTAACTGTGATTAACAATGTGGCTTAATTAGCTAATAGTACTAGTAAGGAAATATGTAAGAAAATTGGAAATTAAACTCACCAGATGTCGATAAAACGCTAACCAAAAGCGACTGAGCCGATACGCGACGCGATTACGAAGACGAGAATCTTCTAGGTTCTTCTTTTCAAGGTTTATAAAAAGAGCTTCTCTCTTTTTTCTTTTAGCCCGATTTATCTATCATTATTTCAATTTTTTTTAAAAAATTACTTGGTTATGTAATGGTTTATGTACAAATGAAGTGTCAAAAAGAATGAAAAGGTTTTATTTGATTTATTTGAAAAAATTGTGACCCAATCATATCTCATCACATTATATATATAAATCATCACGTAAATCATTATGTATATATAGCACAATTGTTATTTCTTAAATTTATTTTCAACAACACATTTTTACAATAAAATATTTACTCGTAAATGAAAAAAAAATCTATTTTTTAACCACACATTTTCAAAAAATTCACAATTTCAAAACTCATTTTTCTACTTTAATGAGAAACAAACAGGGGCTTAAATTGCATTCCATTGAAAATCGAGAGCCCACTCTAATTCACCACTTGGGGCTTGACCATTACTAAGTTTCTCGAATTCGAATCGTTTGGTCGTTTAAACGTATTGCTCAAATCGGTCGGGAAAATTTGGTGGCCCCACCTCAAATCATCCTAACTCTTAGGGCATGCTTTGGAGTTTTGCGTCATAGATTAAGGACATTTTTTAAAGTAACAAGTTTTAAATATTTATGAAGGGTTCAATTTTGGGTATTTTTAGTAGGGAAGTTTAAAATTATCCAATTCATATTTAAGAGATTACAATCTAGTAATTCTAAAAAAATAAAAAAATCGAAAAAATATATATACGTCAATTAGTGAAATTTTTCAATTTATAATTTTTTGTATGAAATCTTTTTTTACTCTGATATTTTTATTTCACAAGTTAATTTTGAACAAAATTTGTGGGTTGAAAAAAAAAATTTATAGTTTGAAATTAAAAGGAAATTTGAGAAATTGAAGCTTGTTCAAGCACTATATTTTTTGAAAGATCGAACAAATTTTGAAGCTACTAGATGACTACCAGCTATCAGTCGGGCTGGTGTGACATTGCAGGTAAGAGTAATGCTACCAGTACATCGGGGTGTACATCATGGTGTAAACCCCCCTCACATGGGTAAGGGGCCCACTTGAATATTTTATTTTTATAGTTTGAAATTAAAAGGAAATTTGAGAAATTGAAGCTTGTTCAAGCACTATATTTTTTGAAAGATCGAACAAATTTTGAAGCTACTAGATGACTACCAGCTATCAGTCGGGCTGGTGTGACATTGCAGGAAATGGGTTTGGAGAAGATGAATTGAGTTTTCATTTTTTATTTTCATGTTTCAATTCTTTAACTTCTAATTAAGCGTCTACTTAACCATGAAGTTGCACCTGCATTATTAGCGCAAGTAGATGGAATTCGTATATTGAAGACTCATTTACTATACACGTCAAAAGAGTTGGAAATGGTTTATTAACTAGTGAATTGAGTCAACTTTGAGCTCCAATTTAAGTGAGACTCATACTTCGATTTTAACGAAATCAAACATATTCACATTCTACACCGCGAGGTGATTAATGTGATACATTTATTTATCTAAAAACATTTAGAATAAAATGAAGAATTTTATAAACTTATGAAGAATTTAATCCCACGTATGAAAGTTAGAAACTTTGTTGTGGTTTATATGGTGGAAATTTAGGAATTGGTTTTGGACCCCAACAAGTACCAATAATCTTTGGAATGAGAGATCTACATCTTATTGGGTTCGGTCATAAGTCCACAGGTGCACGCCGCCACCTTCGGTCTGGCTTAGCACGTGTCAGTGCTAGAGTTCGGTTTGTATGCGGATGGGTCCTTATACTATATTAATGTTTTGGACAAAATTTATTTCAATATTTTGGTTCAAATTGTAATTAATCAAATTTTTGGTTACTTAGCACATGTTTGGTCCGGATTCAAATCTGATTTTAATTCAAATCAAAGTCAAATAATCAATATCAACCACATCTTTCATAGGTTTCACAATTTTTCAACCAAGCATTTCAAAAACTTCTATCAAAATCTACTAAAAATCTAATTTTAATCTCTACCAAACACCCTCTTAATGAAATTAATTTTGATTGATTTATTTTCCGGTAATCTTTTGGTCTAGATTGTTTGTTAACCAACGTTACTGTCATATGTTAACCGATGTAACAATTGCAGTGATTCATACAATGCTATGTTTTTGAGCTTAGAGGCTGTTTGAATAGTGATGATTGTTCTCAAAATGTTTGAAGGATGTTCAAATGGCCACTAACGAGTCTATAAATAGTCGTCTTGCTGCCGAATAATTAAATAATTTTCATTGCAAACTTTTTCTATTTTGAATCTCATTCTCTCTCGTTTTGATATTATTTTCGAAGTGAAAACACTTCATTGAGTTCGTTGGAAGTCCTACAGAATGATGTGTTGCTTTCGTAGAGGTGAAATTCGTTTTATCTGTTAATTTATTGCAATCATCACTCCTAACATCTCCAAATATTGCAGGTGAAACTCTTTTGAACAATTTTCTTCCATAATTTTGTCAGTTGATCAAAAGTTTAACTTTGATCACATTTTTAATATTTTAAAAATGGGTAAAAGAGTAACTTTCTATTTATTACATTAAATAATTAATTAAAAAAAAAGAAATAAGAAAAAATACGCACCCGCTATTCTTCTTCCCTCCACCCCCACCCCCACCTCAAACCCTAAATCCCTATATGGTCGGCCACATTTCAATTAATTCCCATTAAATTAATAATAAAATGGGCCTTTTTTTTCTGGTGGAGAGTACGGAACGTCATAGACTCGTAGTATGGAAAACGAAAGATCATATGGTTAGTTGATGTGGCCAACTGTTGTCCACTTGCTCGTCATTGTAGGTCAAGGTCGGTTTGTCCTATTAGGCCCTATTTTGAGTCTATTTTTTTAAAAAATAAATTATAAAGTACGTATAAAATTACTTTATTTATTGAGGACGTGTTCGGTAGAGATTAAAATTGAATTAAAATTGAAAAACTAATCGTTATTGTTGACTTTTATTAGACGAATGAGATCCAATAACAACTATATTTTTAATTTTAATTGAATTTTAATCGTTATCAAAAGGGTTATTCTTGTCCCGCCTATTACATTTCTCTACGGTATTTTCTTTTGAAATTTATTTTCAAATACGTCAAAATTCTATCCAATTTTTCACTTACTAAACCGTTAAATTTTAAATATAGTTGAAGCATTTTTCCCAATAGACAAATACCCGTATCACTCTAGAAACAAAGAAGAAAGGGAAGCAACACCAAATTTTAAATCTGCAAATCTTGATATTCTGACCTTACACTTCCCTTTTATCATTTCTTGACTGCGTATTTCAATTCGAGTCATTCCGATTTTCTCCATATCGTTCCAATATGAAGATTAGTTCAAACGCTAACACTACCAGGAAAGATTATAACATTATGTACACAGAATAAAATTTAAAACGAGATCTAAAATATTGTGAAAATAAAGATACACTATCACTAAGTAATACACAATCTTGTCATCTTCATAATAACAAATTAAATATTATTATCAGTAAATAACTAAATATATATATTTATCAATCAGAAAATCGAATGACATCAAACTATTTTCTCTTTTTATATTATATATAAAAATCATTTATGTAATTCTGTATTAAAATCTTACAGAGTAATTTATGGAAGATAATTAAGAGATTGATCGCTCCAGTAAGCTTGATCAACGGTCCCAGTGAAATCAAAAGGCCCTTCACCGACGGTTCTCCAATCTAGCGCCGCCGAAAATCCGCCGTCAGTCATTAGATTCTCCTCTTCGAAGTCAATCTGATTAACTGTGTGATCAATAATCGCCGAGCTAGGATTCTCTACTATCGAAGCTTGCTCTAGCGGATCGAACGATGTGGAAATGTCGGCTGTGTTAAACCATTGCATATTTTCCAGGCTCGTGAAGCTTCCGATGCCGGTGAAAATCTGACAGTCCGATGGTTGATTCACCACCGCCTGTGAATCAAAGCTAGGGTTTGTAGCCGTAGCCTGTGGATTCGGATTCACATTATAAAACTTCGATTCAGGAAAGTTATAACCTAAATCAGTAGTGGAGCCGATGTTGCAGTTGGCCGAGGTTGGAGTGGCAGCCACGGCGGCGGCGAGACTGGAACTCTCGCTGCTCGAACGTGAATTCGATTTGCGTTCCTTTTTCGGTTTGGAGCGCTTGCTCGTCTTCCGGTTTCCGCCCCCGGCGGGGACGTTACGGAGGATACCGCCTTTAGTCCAATACCGCCGGCAGCTCTTGCAGAAGTGGCGCGGCTGAGATTGGTTATAATTATTGTAATAACAAAATTTTGTGTTGAGAGAATCACACCTAGGACACTTCAGTGCTTGCTGGTGGTGGTGAGGCCTCAGCTTCCTGTCTCCCTCGACGCCTCCGATTGCACATACGTCTTCCATTATTTTCCGGCAAGTGCTCACATTTGCCGACTCAGTGAGTGACTTTGTTCAAGAATTTTGAGTAGCTGAGCACACTGACAAGTGACAAATATCCACAGAAAATCTTCCAAGGTATTTCTATCAGATATTTTATAAATAGAAAAGTGCTTATTTTAAAATATCTCTTAAACCCAATACTATGGTAGCAACGTTTTCAAGATGAAGTTACTAAACAACCCCTATGAAATTATTTCTCCTGATAGCAGGGTTAGAGTGGTAAAATCAGTGGCAGTTATTGGTACAAGAAAATTGCAAAAAATGTCCATCTCACATTATCATTTGCAAAAATGTCCCAAATTTGTTCCATTTGTGTCTATTTTACTAAAATTTAGAACAAAAGGCCCTTAGTAATTTCAATTTTCAAATTCCACCATAAATTTTTTTTTTTATGAATTTGTATTGAAAAATAGAATATTGATATATGAGCTATGAGGTTGACACATAAACTATACTAGACATTAGAAAAAGTAGCAATGTCAATTCATGCATTAAATGTTAATTTCTCCCAATATGAAAACATCGTTCTTGACAAATGAAGTTTTAGTATCGAGATGTTCAGAGATCCAATGTCAAGAATTATGTTTCAAATGTTAAGAACAATGAAATGCATAACAATGAAAACCAATCTCCCGCTAGTTCACCATGGTTAGCGCGCACAAATAGGAGATACATGAGAGTAGATGTAATGTTTGCAATAAATATAATATTATATTTTTAAAAAAATAATGCTAAATTCATCATCTTCCTTTTCTTCGAATCTTCAATTGGTCAACCTGCAAAAAATGGAATAAGTTGATAATTGCGTATTATGTTAGTTTATCATGGAAGCAAATTCACTGCCTTATGGACGCAACCAAATAAAAAATATGATTTTTTTTTCCCCTTCATTAAGGGTATAATGAACATTTTGGTGCCAAATTTGACATTTTCTTACAAGAATTATCAAAATTAGATTCAGATTTTCTTACATTTTCTTCTGACAGCAGGGTTAGTGGTAAAATCACGTGGCAGTTATTGGGACCATGGTACACCGTACGGTCCGTGGAATAGGACGGTTCAGTTGAGAAGTGAAGTGAAGTGAAGTGACCCGTGTTTGGTTTTAGAGATAGAGAGTTAGAAGATTTACGAGCTGGTGTCGGCCAATAAATGTATTAATATTCAAGCCTATTTCTTGAATTTTTTTTGTCGACTGATTGGATTAATTAATTTGGTTGAAAAATGAGACGAAATATATTATGTACGTGGAAAGATTTCACTTCCTTTTAGTTCTTATGATTTTTTCTAGAGATCTTCTATAGCGTACACGTATATCGTGAGTCTCGGTGCATTTTTATCTTATAAAAAATGTTGAATCTCGAGGTTAGCATTATATTTTTAAGATTACATACAATACCCAAGTGTAAATTCATAGTGATAGTCTAATTTATATTGATCTTCTAGTATATATACGATAATTAAGGAAAAAAATAGGTTTAAACTTTTCAATCTTTCACGTTATATGGTCATAGGCCGCTAAACGTTATTATGTAATAGGATAATCGACGTAGCATTAAAATTGCATGCCAATTTCAGTTGAATTGGATACAAATGTTGGGCGATTAGACGATATTTCATTTAACTTTTAGTGATGTGAAACTTGCGTTGCGATTTTAATTTGATTAAGTGGGAATGCAGATTCATAAATATAAATAAATTGTGGACCTAAAACGATACTAACCACATAAAAATTTGACGGGACATAGTCCTAATTTTTTCGATAATTAAACATAGATTACTTGAATGAACAGTTCATTGACAAATGTCATATCGCACATGGGGTGAGTAGGGTAGGGTAGGTAGGGGTGGGGAACTCGATACTTGTCCATAACGTTCTGTCCAATGTGTGTGCAAATTTTCAACTTATATGTACAACAGTACAAGGGTATAAAAATAGCTTATGCCGTGTTTGGAATATGAGTTTCAAGAGGCCCATTCCTTGGTGTCTTCTCATATATTTCACTCACTTAGATTGGAAAAGATATGGGCATTGAAAATTTTATTTAGTTTTGGTCCTGCATTATAATGGAAGTCACTGTCCTAAGCCACGAAACTTTGTCTGCCTGTACCCCATTAAGGCCCAGTCGGTTGGAGTGTTGACATGCCCCTTCAACTTTGGTCCCCCATCTTCAATCCCTAAGAACCTTGGTCTTGGCAGTGGGGTGGGGTGGGGTGGTGTGGGGGTGGCCACTTTCCCTAACCCTAGACCATGTATAAAAGTACGACCTCTAAGAAGTCCCTATTCTCGAAAGTGACTCCCACCCTCTTATTGTTGGAGCACGATAATTGATTAAAAATATCTTATAATGTAGATTGGTACATTGAAAATATCTAGAGCTTCGCTACACGTCTTGACACTCCCGTGCCCACAATTATTTTAATCACCGTGGGCCCCCCTTGTGAGGGGCGTGCAACTCCCATCTACATTTAGCATTTTTCAAATATCTAACCGTAGGAAATACTTAATCAATCTCTTGATAAGTTATTATTGAGTTGAAAGAGAGATTGTTTTAATTTGTTAATGAACTTAGTTTTTAAGACCATGTTATGAGTTCTATCATTATATCTTCTTATCGCTAATTCATACTCAAGCTCATATTTGGTAAGAATTAAAATATAGATTTTAATCTAAATCGAAAACAATTAATTTTAACCACATATTTTATGGATTCCACAACTTTTATTCACAAATTTCATCAATTTCTATTAAAAATACTATTAAAAATCTAAATTTAATATTCATTAAACATAGGCTTGATCTGTTAGCATTTTATTGAAATTGAGAGAACGCCTTAAATGAGTTTGACTTTATATTATTTTATTTTTCTCCGAAGCATCTCTCATCAACCAGCACTAGTTTGATGTATTGAAATATAAGTTTTAATATTAAGTTTTGTAAACTATGTTTTTGGAGTGTGGCTTTTGCATTCAATATTATGCTTGTAAAAATGAGTCAAATAGATTTTTAATTTTAATTTGGATTTATGAGACTTTGTTTTTATGGTATTATTTAAAAGGAAGTGAACATGTAAGTACTTTGAGCTAGTTCATCTTCTTATGATTTTACAAGTTAGAATTCTTGATGCTCCATTCATTAGTGGTAGTCCTACTAGAAGAATATCCAGGATATAAAATATTTTTTAATTAATAATATTGTCGACATAAGGAGTCTTTCTTTTATATATCTGTCACATATATTGATGTATTTTCCTTGAAGATAATTGATTGGGATAACGTGGTGGTTAGTTGTACAAACAATCGACAAGCTTGCCTTGTTTGCCATAACTGTTTAATTGAGTTATGTTCTATAATGTGGGTCAAACATGGGCTAACTGGTAAAGAAAATGAGAAATAACTTACGGGAAAATAGTAGAATAAAACTTTTGGAATAAAAGCTTGCAGGAAAAAAGATTTCAAAATTATAAGGCCGTACGAACATTTTCAAACTTTAACCACAATCTGCTATCGGGTACAACCCATCGCAGTGTACGGAAAACATCACAATCGATTATACGAACTCAAAAATAAAATCGAATAGTGATCTCAATCAACCAATTCAATATTGAGAGATGCTACTTGTACGGGGGTGGATAATTTTTTTTCTTTTTTTAATTACAGTTGGGTTCACCACTGTGAGTGGTTGTCAACCACTTCGGTCAATCACTTCGGTACAAGTAGAATTAGTGTTCAATATTACATCTACCAAAAGTTCAACTAGAACTTGAAACTGAAGACTAATATATGGATAAACGACAACATTTTGGTTTAAACTTTAATTCTCAAGAATACGACCCACGATCAGTGCTCTCGCAAATCCATTTGCCATCCAAGCTTAATTATTACCTTGAACTTGAAAAGTATAGAGGGGATGAGTATTGAAAAATACCCGGCGAGATGCTTACAATTTGCTACAACGGGGTTGTGACATGAAATTATATTGTGAAATGTCATATCAAAACTAAATCTGTAAACTGTGGAACTAGGGGTGTCAAAAAGGTTTGAGTAACTCATCGGCTCATCAAAGCTCGACTCATGAACGGCTCGGGCTCGTCTGTGGAACTAGGGGTGTCAAAAGAGTTGAGTAGCTCGTCAAACCTCGATTCATGTACGGCTCGAGTTTGTTTCGGGACGAGCTCGAGCGGGGGATTCGCGAGTTGAGAGCTTGCGAACGGTTCGTGGGCATAGTTCACGAGCTCGTAAACTTGTAAAAAATGTGAAGAAAAAAGTAAAAAAAATAAAAAATAAAAAAACCTGGGCTCAGCTCGGCTCCTGAGCTTATGAGCCGAGCCGAGCCGAGTTTGACACTTGAGCACAAGCTCTTGCTCAAACCAGCTTGAGCTTGGCTCGTACTTTGACGAGTCAAGCTCATGGGTAGATGGGCCGAGCCGAGCCGAGCCGAGCGACTCGACTCGACCCATTGTCACCACTATGTGGAAGTGGAACCATGAAATCACAATCTTTCAAGCACTACAATAAATCTGAAATCCGAAGATTTAGCCCCGTTTGGTCCCTATTATTTGCCATTTTAATTTTTGGAATAATATTTTTTCTTCTTTGAAAAATGTGTGATTAAAAAAGAAAAAAAAATTGATTTAAGTGTAATATTATTTTATTGAAAAATGTGTGATTAATAAGAAAAAAAAAAAGAAAAATGAATTATAATTTTAATAGAGACAATAGGATGTTAGTCTACCCTGACTCATGATTTTTCCCTGAATGAGCTCTAGAATAATTAGTAATCAAATTTTAAGCATAAATTAAATTCAAGAAAAGATGTGGAATGTACTCTCCCAAATCGACTTTTTTTTTTAATCATTTCCACATAATTTAATAGTAGCTACAATTTGAACCAAACATTTGACAATGTATATTTTAACATATTCAATATTTACATATTTATTCCAAATAAATAATCGACTCCAAAA